GAAGCTGAGCCTTAGGTAGAGTTAGGGATGAAAAGGCGTGCCACCTTTCCCAGGTCAGCGACGATAGTATGGGAATTCGACCGCCACTTAAAGCCATCAAAAAGACTATCTATCGACAAACTATCAAAACGTAAAGTTTACGCTACTCTGTACTTCACATACTTCGCCACTTTTTTTACCGGTAAGGAGCTCACATTTCGCAACAAGATCTGCGTCCAATTGCTCGGATCGCGAAGTATGAACGCACTCAAACTCCTTGTGTTAAACGAGTACCACTATAGATGGCTCCCACGAAACGGACTTATCTTATCAGCAACATCAACAGCAGCTGCATTCATCATTTAGAAAAGGCGCTTGTGTGATGCACCTGCCCATTTGGTGCAACAGTTCGCTGGATTACGGTGATCGGATTTCTGCACAAAGGGTTTCTTATGCTGCCAGCTTCCGTTTCTCTTTGCTGAACAGCTTTCAGGGATGAAGGATGCGAACACACTGACCACCAGAGAATGAGGGTGATCGCCGCGACCCAGGGGAAATAGTAGTGAGCGCTCCACCATAGCCCCTCCCCAAGGGCTCCCTGCCTCTATAGTGTCAGACAAAAAGCTTATCCTGAACGTTTATAACCCAAGAAAGTGTAGGCAGTGTTTCTGAAGGGCTGCGAAAATGGATCTGTATGTAACACTTTAAGAAAACAAAACGTTCTACAGGAAATAAAAAAGCACGGTTATTTTTCTTCCTTTCCTTACTGAAGAGCACGGAAGGAGGAATATGCTTTTGCTCGGCTTCCGTCTAAGGGCACGTGCGAAACGGAAGCTGAGCTATCTCTTTGCTTTCGACCCCCCTCAATAATTCTCATTTATTAGATTTTACAACATAGTTCATTAATCTGTTTCAAAGATTTTATTTGTTCCGCGTCTTCTCTAGATGAACATTACTATTTCTTCATTTTTGAGGAATCTAGTGATTTGATATGGCAAAATAGGACATCGGGGATGGATCGACGAGAGAGTTAAGAAGGAACGATCCAAAAAACCAAGAAAAGTTACGAAAAACCCATCACTGTGAATCCCTGCCCCATCCCCACCACTCGTGTCAAGGCCAGTGCGGAATGGCGCCTATGACGTGCTGGCGCAAATTGTGCGCATACTACGGTAGCAATAGACGCAACACGACCCATTGTTAAATCCCACACACTTTTCATACACTAGCGATTTTGGTGCGTGTGAGAGAGCCAAATTTTCCCTACCTTTTAGATTAAGATTGTGCTGTTGTTTACTACTGTTCATTGTGACATTCGATAATTTTCTGTAGGGTTTTAGTCGTTACTGCTCATTTTTTCCATTCACGAGAGCATTGTCGCTAATTTAAGTCGATTTTTATCAGATCTTTGTTGTTTTTACTCATCCCACTTTTAATTTAGTCTGTACAATGCCGACCAAAGCTTTGGGAGAGACTCTGAAGGAGTACTTGGTCGTTGGTCGCAAGTTGCCAACCGAAAAAGAGCCAGTGACTCCAATCTGGAAGATGCAGATCTTTGCTTCTAATCATGTAATCGCCAAGTCCCGTTTCTGGTACTTTGTCTCTATGCTTCGTCGAGTAAAGAAGGCAAACGGCGAAATTCTGTCGTGCAAGCAGGTAATCATCGTTCAATGAGCCGGGTGCAAGTCGGCTGTCGGGGAGCGACCATTCAAAGGTACTTGTGAATACCCATTCTTGCATAAAGAACTTGGTTCCTCAATCCAGGAGGTGGTT